AAAACTATTTACGTAAAAAAATAAATAAATTTCTTACACCACAATAATAATAAAAATAATTATATAAACTTTTTACACGCTGGTAAATTTAATAATATTCAATTCAGGTTCATATGTAGTTATAAAAATATCAGAAAATATTCATGTTAAAGTTATAATTATAAAAATAAATACAAAATAAATGTATCTTTTTCAGTTCTTTTCAACGACAATACATTTCTGAAAATAATTCCATTCTGTCTATTTTGACAAATTATCAAATTATCAAATGATGAAATAGTAAAAATAACTGTATGCATAAATATGTATGTTTAAATTGAAGTAAACGGATGCTTCAAATACAAGAGAAAATTTGGCAGTCACTGCTCATCGTGTAATAATGAGCATTTTAGCATGGTGAGGTATTTTAATTACGTCTGCGATTTGCACATGGTGTAAATCGTTTTCGCGTCTCATTTAACTATAGTTTCTCTGAATGTCCGTTAACCGACCCGTTAGATTCCCACATGCACCACTGAACTGATCGTTACTCGAAGGGATGAAATATCGAACGTTTGGTGTATGTGTTTTACCTTTATTGTAAAAGTGATGTAACCCAATGGGGTTTTAATGTTTATACTAACATTAAATAGGGGAAAACAAAAAATAAATAAGTCTAACTTTGATTGTCTATTTAGTAAAGTTAATTGTTATATTTAGAGTTATTTGAGCTTCGTACTCTTATTTGACTTGTGAGTTAGTTTGGATAAGTTAACAACACATTTGTCGACTTCTCATGACTATGGTATTATTACTTTCTGTCAACTCTAGTATACTCAGAGATGCATAGAATTCTTCAATATGCATACAACAGTTTTTCTTACTCGACCCTTTGTTCGTTGTTTTCTGGTTCATCTTAAAAAAATACTCAACGAGGAATAAGAAGATAAAGTGAATAGAAACATCATACAGGTATACTGGAATATATTATTATAAGAATTCAAATATTTTTAAGAAACAAGAATATTTTTTTTTAAACAACGACTCGTCACAATTTTTCAAAGCTGAATAAAGAAAAGTATTCAAATTGTTGCGCAAAAATGTGAATATATCTGACTTGGTTTCTTTTAGAAAAGTTGGAGAACTTTTTTTCCTTTCTAGAGATACCTCAGTAGCCACTCTAGCTTTCGGCTAAAATTGAAAAGTCATGTCCGGTACTTTAAGTACGTCGTGTATTTTCGATTCTAGGGTATACTGATCGATGCAAAAAGCACAAGGAAAGAAAATATACGAAAAGAAACTGAAGAAATCACGCACACCAAGTTGTTTTGTTTGTGTTGAATCGACAAGGCCATAGAAACCCTCAAGGATGCTCGTTTTTCTTCGTGAGGACAAAGAACAAGACATTGAGAGATCGAATGTAGTTTTTGCACTGCTCTTGAAATTAGATGGGATCAATCTTTACTATGGAATGTTTTTGTGAAACGATTTTTTTATCAACTACCGATTATCCGATTATCTGATAAATTACATTTAAAAATTGAGATCTTCCTTTAAACAGTAAATTAAGGAGTTATCAAGTCATCTTAAATAATTGTGCCATTGTTTTCTATTAAATCTTCAATTGACTATAATAACAAGAGCAAAGAATAAACGACATTAATAATTTAAATACAAATTGATTGATTATGCACAATGTTTTGATTCTATATGTACCTCAACAACTCTACTATTCATTAACGAGACTTACAATTAATTGAATCGGTGAAATTATTCATGTGAACTCGGTATGGAAATGTATGTAGCAAAGAACATAGTGTTGAAATTTGTCAACAATTAATATTGAAAATGGTCCATTTATGTATTCAGTGATATATAAATATATATTATGTACTACATTCAATCATCACAATCAAATAATAGAAAATGTTTTTATTCATTATTTGAATCTTCACTCAAAATAACTGATTTTTCTAAAAATGTCTACAATTCAATTGAATTATGCTCCATTGAATATCTCCATAGGTATTCCGATTGGATTTAATGATTGGTATTAATTAATTATTCAATTATTCAAGAGATTAATTTCTAAAAATTATTGTATCAAAGCTTGGTTGAATAATTAAACAATGGGGAAACAAATATGTTGAGTTTGCGTGAAAGGATTAAATATTGAAATTGATCCTCGAGCTCGTCTTTCATTCATTGAAAATTTAACTTTAGAATTATTTAGATGCGATAATTTGGGGGTTAACCGATAGTATAATCGTGCTCTCATGATCTTCGTATCTGATCTCCCGCGAATTACATTAAAGCAAATTGTCGACTGTATGGTAGTTGAACGAACACCCTATAGTCGTTATACGTTTTCACTGTATGCCTAACACAGACACCGACGATGGTGCTTTAATTAAATTTAATAATTAACTCTGGTATACACGTGTACCTGCAGAGACCATATATGAACGACCATGTCTATACATGTGCGACATTCACTTATATTTTTCCGTTATCTTATAATCCCCACAGAGAATACAATCTAACGTGACTGGAGAAAAAGAATACATATTGATGTGCTCAGCAAGTTTCACATCGCTTCATGAAAATCTCATTTTCTTGGAAGCAACAACAGGCACTTGTTTTCATGCCAACTGGAATTTACTACTCGTGCTACAAGCAATAAAAATGTTTTTATGTTTACATAATAAGATCTTCGATGATGGCGTTGAAAAATTAGCTTCAACCATTTGAATGTATATTTTTTTTCTGATTTCCCGAGTACACAACGATACTACCTACCAAGTTGTTCTTCTATTTCGTGGTAAAATTCCCTAGTTTGTTTGCCGTATCATTCTGAGACAAAACCTGCAGATAACCGAGTTTGTTTTGTCGTATACGACCGTCGAAGAAACAAGGAAATGGAAAAGGAAGAAAGAAAAAAGGCAAATTGAATTACCTACATCAAACTTTACGCGATGCAGAGGAAAATAATTCTCATGGAAGCATTTGGAGCTCATCGAAAAACTTTTTTCTTTTGTTATGTAACATTTGCATGAACTTTTAAAACTTTTAGAGCTTTGTTACAAATATATACGTGGCAATTAGATAATTTGAATTACTTCAGAAAAAAAATAATAATTCCACTTGATAGAGTAGTAATGGGGCACTTGGGATAAAAAAGATAATTTATTCGGATAATAAATGATAATTTAAATTCCAACTTAATATTATTATTACTAAGATGAAATTTTTTAGGTTGAAGTTATAAGACTGATAGCAACTACTCGTGTGGTTCCTAACGTCAATAGACAAAGCTTCATATCTAAAATTTGCAAAGTTTGATGGTATTAAAGTTCATCCGGAAACTAAGGTAGATATCTTGGTGCAATAGCTATGATAGAGTGCTATGCTTGCACTTGGGATTGCAAGTCACTGACCACACCAAGCTGTTGGTCAAGCCAAGTCATGATGGAATGCAACCGCTTCAGAGAGTATTCATTTATTTAATTAAGAAACCCATTACATCTCTCGAATTTACTTATTCAAAGTTTTTATTATTCTAGTGAAGCCATAAATATTGTTTGAAAGAAAAAAAGAAATAAATAAAAACAATAAAGCAATAGCATGCAATGATTATATCGTCTATCGAGGATGATTTATAAAATGGATTTAAAATACCTATCTCTTTTCTATATTTATATCTATCCAAAGTGAATCAATTGAATGACTGCCGAAAATTCTGCGCTACGTATCGAAAGAGAAAAATAACAAATTTAGCTCAACATCAGAGGAGAAGGAAATTTGGCGTGAAATTTCCAGCTGGGTTTCTCGTTGCGTTCCCTCGAAGGGAGTGTGTTGCACGTGGATGTGGCACAGTCAGAGGCCGTCTCTGTGCAGCACAGAAAGGGGTATATGCATTCCAGGGGAGCAGAATGTGTGACACGATTTATCGGAACGAACGCTTAGCTATAAAATAACACTTCCTATTCAAATCGGCAAATTAATGGCCGTTTTCATGGATTCTTTGTTTGCTTCACCCAACAATGGGCTCGTTGAGTTATTATACTGAAATGGAACGGTCGAGAGTAGGTCGGAGAATGAAGATAGGTGAAAAGCGGAAAAGAAGAAAAGTAAGAGAAAAAGAGTGGAGAGGAAATGTTTCAGGGAGTGCAAGCGTCTGGGATTCGCCGATTTGGACTGGCGATAAGTTCTCCACGAAAACCTTTCCGCGCCCTCGCCTTCAGGACATGGGGTGGTTTCCGTGATAACGATCGATGGATGCTAAACGTTTCTCTGCAGACTCTTAGCTACTGCCGTTGGCAGATTTCACAGAGCTTCGCTTTTCTGCGTACTCTGCTCTCATCTCTTTCACATTTTTTTTTCAACTTAAAAGCATCTTAAAGTACGGAAAGATGTAGTTTTGACGATAACCTAACGATATATTGAATTTATTAAATAACAATTTACAGAAAGCTTAACTTTGCCTCCAAAAAGCTTTGTAATGAAAATTTTTCACGGCTGAATAATTTCGTTTTGAAGTTCAATCTACTTTTTTTATTTTTATTTTTTATCAATCATACCAGTAGATAGAAAATACGATGGAATAATTTTCACAAGGTTTGAGTTAATAATCAATTAAAACAAAATATGTATCACAAGTCTCTGAGAGCAAAAAATGGAATATATAGAATTACTAGAGTGTTCGAGGTAGAAATGATAGTCAAAATAAATTGATAAAAATAACAGCTTTTAAAGAAAATTATTGAATATGGAGATGAATTAGGTTTTAATTAAATTTTATCTATATAAAGGGAAAAAAAATTGTATTGCTATTTTATGTAAATAAATGTTGAATGTTATTGTCAAAATGGTAGAAATTAAGTATTTTTATTTTGTCATAAATCAACTGTGTCAAAATAAAAATACCATTTCAATGATAATAGAATATTCTGTATGAAAGATATTGAACCATCAGCGATAACATTTCATAGTCAATAATTCAACTGGGCATTGTATTATACCTTGCGCTGGAGCGTAGATATTCAGATACAAGCAATCCTCACTCTGATTACGCAAGTAGGGTAACAGTCTCTTCAAGTATTCAACTCTGCCTCGCGGTAAATCATTAGTTAGTTCCGGTAATTTCTGTGGACAGACTGGTCCAAACTTATCAGCCACTTTAACTCCTTGCCATAAAGCACCATTGACAGGAGGCATGAATCTAAGTGAGCCAACTGGTGGTGAAGCATATGGTACACCACGAAATACTTCTACGCCCTCGAGATTACGCTCAAGAGTCACGATTACACCGGATATATCACCGTACTTGGTCCTCACTACCCGCGAGCTTAACTCAGCACAACTTATTATTGGCTGTAAAGCCAACAAAGTCATTAACATCCACCAAACCATGATTATCGACTTAATCAATGACCTATCACTTCATTGTCTTAATCACTATCACTGCAATCCATTGGTTATTGTGTTTGTTGATGAGCTATTTTTGTTATTTGATTACTGGTAGGTAAATGAAATTTCGTAGATGGAGGGATTTGAAGCTTAGGGTTTGGAGTTTCTCTCAGGATGAGATATGCCAGCCAGATTGTGGCTGGAAGTTAGCGCGCACGGGCCATTATCAAGTCAGCGTTTTGAAAGGCAAATAGCCGAACTTTGGTTAGGCCGTCGCAAGCACAAGCTTTCGACGCCGTTAGTATTCTCCCCTCAATCCGTCTTTGCCAACGAAAATGCTGAGGGGTGGACGAACTACCTTGAATGAAGCTATTCCTGCAGAGTTTGTCAGTAACTATTGGACCCGACACTGTCTCTATCTTATATACTTTCCTAGAACAGTAACTTTCAGTCTCTCTTCTGTATGATTGAGTTCAATGCAAATGTTAAAAAGCTAAAGTCATTTGAATTTTATATGGATCCAAGTCTTCGATCTTCCTGACTTATTCAATTACATTGTATCGATTTCTGCACACGTAAGCTAATTCAAATGAATTATTATCAATTGTTCAAGATGCGCTTTTCACTTGCTGAACATAAGTTCTTTGATAGGATCAGAACAATTTAATATCTTATTTCCACTAGCATTGTTCAGTGAATTACTTGACGATGAGAGTATTTTGGACCATAAGTTGTCTGAAGAGAATGCAAAATTGAATCTCAATCTGGCGGCATCTTGATTGCTTCTTTTACATGCACCTCATCTTTTTCTTTTCTCTCGATTTTTCTTCATCACACTATTTTCTTTTCTTTTTTCATATCCGTCGATGCATTAGGGATCAATATTTTCCAGACTTACTCGTCTTTCTATCTCCTAAGAACCGTCATCATCCCAGCTCCGACTCACTCTTCATCCGCCAAGCTGGTGCTATCCTCATCTCACCTTCAGCTGGCTCATCTTTTAAAGTCTTCGGCACTTCTTTCTCGTTTCTCTTGAAAATCCTTCTTGAGCCGGACGCTCATCCGGGTCCCTTACACGAGGACGATTTCGTTTCGAATGGCATGCTTGATGTGACGATAGACGCAAAAGCTACTGCTGCGGAGAAATGTGAGAATAAGCCCTCCCCTTTGCTGTTTGCTTGGTCTCTTCATCTTCGCTGGCCTTTGCCTGTCGTTGACAGTAATCGAAGATATTCCGTCTCTTTCTAACTTTTCATTTGCGTTTTTTTTTTAAATTTTTTCCCTCTAAATTATGTGCTTCCGTTCCTCTTTAATTCGTATATTCCGCCAAGGACGGGTGGATGTACCAGAAAATATAGAAACAAAGTCCATTACCAACTTCCTGGAGGAAAGGTTATTGCCCAGCATCCCATTCATTAAAAAAAAAATTGAAGGTCACTGGTCGATTAAACAACAGACTACCACTCACAGTATATATTTCGAAATGTTTCCGTCAATTTATTGAAACATCTATATCACTTATAAGTTCAATGAACTCTTACAATAACTGTGGGAAAAATGATGCAAAGAAGAATGAATTTGCTTCGTTAAATTCATGTTAAGCACGTACTGGAAATATTCTAGTGTCCCTTGAGAACGTGCTTGAGCAGGCCAACAGAAAAAATAAAATAATAATTCGCATAAGAGTAAAATAAAAAGCTGGCTTGGATTTTTATGTATCAATTAAACTAGATTCTTTTTTATTTTAATTGAACAATTCCAAAATTGAATCCTCAGTACATTGCAAAAATGATAAATTTATTTTAACGTACTGTTGACATCTGAAGACATTTATCATTTCCTTAATAATGACGAGATATCACTCACAATAGTGTACTCACTTCATCAATTATATTTCCTAACAATCAACTCTACCAGTAGAATAATTCCCACTTATTGTCATTTTTATTTTTGTGAACTCTTCTGTAAAATAAATCAAATTTCAATTAACAAGTTTCACTCACAGGTAGTTCACTCAATTCCTAATATTTACATGATTTAATAATAATATTATTGAATAAATATCGAACATAAAATTGAAAGAAAACATGTGTCATGTCACCAGCCATACATCGAATCGAACCGGACACTTGTAAAAATGACAGAGGATAAAAGGGAGACGTGTGCCCTCGTAGCCGGGCGTACTCGATTCGAGATGTTACCGTTGCTTCGACCCCCGACAAACTGGCGTCGGACGTGCGCTAGTACTTGGTGTTACGCATGCTCAGGATAATACCTCAACAGTGGTGAATCTTGGAGGAAGGGTGGTGCAGTACACGAACGGTCGATACGGCAGGAGGGTTTTGAGTTGGACGTGTGAGACAGCACTACTGAAAAGGTGGTTCGTGTCTGGGATTCATCCATTTATCCAGCCTCTGCGAATTACATTGTTGGGTCAACAATTTGTTGAGATTAATGAGGTCATAGAGACATAGAGGTTCTTGTGTGAAGTAGGGCGTAACGATAATAATTTGGAAGTGTTGATGGGAACTTTATTAACGACATGAAGAGTTTAAAAAAACTTGAAGTAATTTATCCGAATTAGTATACTATGATTTTTTCCTCAACAAACACAAATTTGATAAATACAAAATGTCATATGAAGTGATAGTTTTTGTAGAAGCTTGTTGTGTGGTGACACTTTGTGATATTTCATGATTATAAAGAGACTATTTAAATTATCCATTCATTTATATTACTTTCGATTAATTAATTTCGCTAAATCAATATGTCCTCTTTAAATGGAATTCGTGATAATTTGATTTATGATTAATGAAAATGCTTTTTAATCAGTTTGTTATTTTTAGATGCAAATAGACACTCATACTATTCATCTAAAATAATAATAAAAGCTAAATATAACTCATTAATTACTATAATTAGCCACTTTGTCATTTATACAATTTATCTATCATATCAGTCAAAGATAAAACAAATACACGCAGAATTATTTTTTATTTCATTTATAAATCGTTATGCATGATAAAATTAATTGAATTGATACCGTGATTAATTGGCTTTTATTACAGACCAAAGAAGTCAGTCATAAATTTTAATTATTAATTAAAAATTTTATCTTATTTTTATTTAATTATCGAAATATTTTTATCATCCTAAAACTTTTTTCAATCAATATAAATAAAATCTGAAGTAATGATACCGATACAAAAGAGAAGTTAACATCGATAAATATTTTTTCAAACTTCTCAAGTCTTATGGACGTATTGGAGGTTATTTCAAAGGTCGCTCTTAGAAGCTTACGATGTCGATATTACTCTTGTCACATTGAACGTTTCTATGAACGAAAGAGATGATAAATACCAGGATGCAGGTAGGTGCTCGTAAAGTCCATATAAACGCACACGTTAAGACCCATATCGAGATAATAAATCAGCTAGATGTATAGCTATCGTTGCTGACCTGACTTCGTTCATCTTCCTCCGTAACAGGAACTATCAAAGTTGACCGTTAAACACGTAGGTACATACATTCATAAATTGACAAAAAATGCATAAAGCAGCAAAAGTAAACTTTTTTACATCAGAGTAAAAATATATGTTCGTAGTGGAGAACATGTGTCAGATGATAACACAAAATCTACAAATTTTATTCTCAACGTGACGATCACATCGTTTTCAGTTGCCTAGCAAATCCACAACTGTTTCCACTAGTAGTTTTCTACATCATAGATAAAAATTATTCTGTTCACATTTTTCTAGTGAGGATGTGTTCTAAGGCAATATGGACAGTCTATGCATAGAGAAAGCAAGAGTCCAAACGATATGTGAAGAAAGTAAAAAGAAGTATAAAACATACTATTGCGTACTAAGCTTGGTAGCTTGAGTACGTGAGTTTACTGCAAGAATGCTAGAAGTGCTTTGCTAGCATAACTCATATCTCCTATGGGATTAAGAAGATTCAACACAATCACTGAGTAAAACAAAACGAATTGTAAATAGTCATTCCTTGAATTATTGAGTTAGAAACTTAAAAAAAGGTGGAATTTACATTGAGTATTCACAATCATTTTAATTAAGGCAGTGTACTTTTAACAAGAAAGCAAAATGCTGGATATTAATCAATTTTTTGCTTTATTAAAAGAGCAAAAAAATGATCATAAAATGTTGACGAGTTTCCCAACCAAGTTCTGATTTACAGCACAAATAAGCAAGAGAGAAAGAGAGAGAAAGAGCTGATGAGCGTGAAAAATTATTTCGTTTACACCTTGTGACGGTTACATTGTCCGTGTAGTAACGTATGTGAAAGAATAAAAGAAAAAATAGAGAGAAAGCACGGAAATGTATACATATGAGATATATGTAGATGCGAAAGTGTAGTTAAAGGGTGTATGTAGGGAGCTTACGCACAAAAGAAAGGAACGAAAGGGTTAGAGAACATGAGATAGGACACGCACATTCCATTTTCTATTGTACAAATACTGAGAATGTTGTTTAAAGCTTTACTAAATGTCTCGCGTCTGAAAGAGTACGTGACCTGACCAAAAGAATATTATTTACTTCGCTACCCGGCAAGTTATAATAAGTATATGAGAAATTTAACGCTAGATGCTGGAAAACAATGTGGTAAACCCGGACGGGGCTGAAAGACGCGAGAGGACGGCAGGAAAGGGAATTTCCGTTAGCTGTTACTATAACGTACAACTGCCACACGTTGCCTCATTAAATTTTCTGTTACTTGGGAAAATGTATATAAGTTTTCACAGTAAGTGAACAAGTGTTTGATTGTCACTTGTTCAATATTAAATTTCATATATTTCTTTATCAACAAGTAACTCTCATGAGATTGTTGTTTTAATTTTCTACAATGGTTACTGAAGCATTCATTCAAATAACGTGCTAAAGACATTTCACAATTATCGGTTTGTTTCTAATTTTAGTTTTAGTTATTGAGTTAATTAATTATTATTATCAACATTCAATGAAAATTATGCTGTATAATTAGTAAATATTTGCACACTGATTGAGAAAATTTAGCAATAAGTTCATTATTAAATATGCTCCAATTAACTGGGGAAGAAAGTTTATTAACAATGCTTAAAATTATGTTCAAATGTCAATTATTCTATAATAAAAACTCTTGAGAAACTTTACATTAAATAATATGGAAGTAAATCATTGCCTTTAATGTTTGATTTTTGGACGAGTAAATGATTTGTATCTGTATTATTAATCATTAACACAGCCCAAAGAATTAAGAATTTATTTTAAGTTAACTAATTTTAATTCATTTATTATCCTGGCCATTAAAGTTTAATTGAATGCTTTTTAGAAGTACAAAAGCAATTCATAAAACTTTCATTCAGTGATTTAAAGCGGATAGATTTTTTTTTATCTTTGTTATTTTTTTTTGTTTGACAGTGTTTATTTTATTCAGTGATTTTTGTTCAACTATGTAGACATAAATTACAACTTTTTCATTCGTTTCTGATATTTGAATATACGAATTTCCTTCATAAAAAATCCCTGGTCTAATTGCTAAGATTCCAAGATATATAGAGATCCTTTTTTGTAATAAAAGACGAGAAAAAGGGAAAAACACACTTTTTTATCAACGAATATTTGCAATCTACCTATGATCGTCAGTAATAATTGTGATTTATATATTATTTGTATGTCAAGGGGAAAAGATCCCTCTGAAAGTCTTGAAGTCACCATAACGTATTCATCTTTGTTATATCTCACAGAATTTATCCACATGTTCACCCTAAACCGAATGTCTTCCACTTATTTTTTCAGAAATAGCATAATCCAGGTCTTTTCGCGAAGATAGCCGAGTTTTCTTGATGTCATATAATATTTTTATGTAATCTTTTTGAATCACAAATTTTTTTTTCATATTTTTAAATTTAATAGAAATTGGATCATATTTTCTTTCAAATTTTCTCTGTGTACAAAAAAGATCCTGTTGGTTAGAACACTTTTTTAATTTCTTTTATATTCATATTCATCACACAGTTATAAGCTTTTTTAATTTTTAATTAATAGAAGATGAAAGGAGAAATGTTCTCAAGAGACTTGATAATTTTTCAGTTCTTTTTCTATCTACTAATCTAGCTGAGCATGAATCAGCAGATTATCGTGATTCCAGAAAATCAATCAATCCTATCATACGAACAATAGAAATAAAAGAAATGATTATTTTTATGATTAAATGCATTGAAAACAAGTTTATCCGAAACAACTCAAAATAGAAACTATTTTATATTTCTAATTATTTAATTAACAAAACTAACATAAATGTCATTTTTTGCTAATGAAAGTGCTATTTGTAATTATGGAAATGTGTGATAAAAAATTATTTAATCAGTTTTAAAAGATTTAAATTACACTCCAATTCTACTTGGTTCACTATTTGTTCCAACATACAAGAAATTCATCAACTCTCTCAAAATATATTCTCAATTTAGAAGCTTTGAAGTCATGTCGATATATTATTATGTTATAATTAACGAAATAACTAACTTTTTGGTTAATTCGAATACTGTGATGATGTAAATAAAAAGTCTAATGACTAGATTCTCCAATTAGCAACGGATTTGTCAGATTACATAAAAAGAGTAAGTAAAAGTACTAGGTAATCACCTATTGCTGAGAGTATTTAGAAGAGGAAAAGTAGTAAATTACATGTGATAGGACAAGCCTTATCCTTTCTCTTTCTCTCGTATTTTCCCACCTCACTGAAGGCACGGCTTATCTCGTCTGCGCAAACTGCACCGGAGGGTGTAATCAGTGCACCGGAATTCTGTCTTCCAATCTCACACGATGGTGCTTGAGAATTCCGCCTGAATGTCATTATGCCGTACGATTCTAAATAAGAATTGCGTGGGAGATGGTACTAGTGAGTATTTGAGCTACAAAACTAAGTCGACGTTCCTCCAGAAACATTTGTGGTATTCTTCATCGTTATGATCTTCAATGATTTGCTGGTTTCTGTCGTCAAATTTTCTTTGATCTGTTAAAACATAACTCCAAGAATTTCATCATCCAACACTTTCCTATATAATTATTTGGTGTTATATATTTCTAAAATTTCCCTGAAAACATTCTAAAAAATACATGAAATTTGAAGATCAACAAATGAAATAAAAAATATTTTGAAAAATAAACTTTGATTGGAACTATTATTGGCTTCATTTCATAA